CTCCCGGTAAACATTGGACTATGGTGGCTGGTGTCTCTATTTTGACATTCCGTACAATAGAATCGCCAATAACTAGAGCACTTTCATCAGGTTTCTCAGTTGGGTGCGTCACTGAGTGGGGAGAACCTGTTTGATGTTTTGATGGGAACGGTAGAGCGGTGTTTTGACCCGCGACTATGCCACCTCACAGTCACCCAGTCGCCCTGCTGCGGGGGCTCTGTAACCGGAACCGAGTAATGTACAGGACTCCCTGAGCTAGTCGCATCCAAAGCCGTATCTAGAGCCCTCACATTCTTACTGTCCTCAATTAAAGTTTGGATGCGTGTCTCTAATTCTGAAATCTTCTCTGTCAGCCTAACTATTTCCCTGCATTTATCACACGTGAATCCCTCGTTGCCGACAGAGAGAGATAAACTATACATGTGGCAAGCGGTGCAAACAACAACAGCAGGAGAAGAAGCCATTACTCACCGTGATTTATGAATGATTCTTACTTACCACAGTTGTTTGATGAACTTGTTAAAAAAATGGAGCGAGAGAGAGAAAAAAAGAAGAAAACAGCAATAGGCGCGAATGGAAACGCTAATGACAAGCTAACTGGCTAACGAATGCTAACGCGCTGCAGGTGCACTGCACTCTCGGTTTTAGAATAAAAGTGAACGATCAAATTAATCAGATTAGGTGAATTTACTCCCGAACGTTTTTGGAACCAGCATAACTTGAGTAAGCGAGGTTTGGGTTAATCAACTGAGAGTTCAGGGTATATGTGATGCTAAGTTAACCTTGCTTTCTGGAATACACCCCTGGTGAAAACTCTTTATGCATTTTGGCAGTTTATTTATTGTTGTCATGTAAATCTGAGCCCAATTAGATTATAAAATAGACCCCATTCTAAAACGGCGTTGATGGTTTCACTCAGGTGGTTAACTGACTCATTTTCCATAACTGTATTCTCTGGTTTTTCTAATGGCTTCATTCATCCACTTTAGCTCCCCTTTTGTATGCACGGGTGAGTGTATGTATGTTTGTTTGTTAGACTAGTTTAGTTAATAAAACTCTTGTGCACAAATTACATAAGTTTCCGATTCTGCCTTGCAAATTAATGTCCATTTACAATTTTAATCCTCGCTACATGCTCTAATGCATTAATACTGTATGAAGGTATTTTCTCTGGCCACGAAAATATCCTTTCCTAGAGTTGATATGAACTTACACTGAATGTTCGCTGGACGAACAGATTAGTTGAGTGCAATTTCATTCTGCTAGTCACAGCTGAAATAAATAATTGTAAATAATCATAATTAATTGTAATTATTTATGCACATTTCCCTTTTGAGCTAATTTGCTACAGCGTTCTGTCTGATCAGGGTGTAATACAAACAGTGAAACAGTTCTGTTATTGCTAGAATATCACTCTTATCAGCCAATCAGATTTGAGGACCAGAAAGAACAGTTGTATAAATATATATGACCAAACATTCAGGTGTACAGTACAATGCAGGCCCCTTTTCTCGCACACAGTTGGGAAGGGGGGTGTTGTTTGACTGTTAATTCTAATTTTGTATGTTCATTATGTTTGTTGATGCATATACGTTTACATTTAGTCATTCAGGGACACGAGACAATCCACTTTTGAGAATGTATTTCATTTAATTTATTTGCAAACAGCAGCAAATGTGCAACTTTTTTTTATATAAAGTTAAAAAATATTACATTTAGGTTTAAAATTATTCCATTAAGCATGGAACAATAAACACTGAATACCACACATTTATACGAAATGATTGCTTATGATCTACTGCAGATGAATTATGACAATGCTTACTTTATGGCCAGGTTTTTATATTGTAATACGTGTTAGATGCATTTTAGAGTGTATATTTTTTCCCCACTTTTCTGTTTGAATGAGCAGCTGTAAGAAGTAAGGACATTTTAAAATAAGAGTCCTGCTGAAATGGTCAAAATTAAAAGTATTAACTATTAATTTCTCTTTATTATTGGTATTTCAGTTACTTAAACTGTAGCTTGCATTTAATTCAGTGTTTAAAATATACTGCCTGAAGCAGAAACATTTAAAAACCTAATGTACTTTTTGTATTCAAATTAAGTTTGCTTGTAAATATCTCCTCATATCTTATTACAGGAAAAACAAATTATTTCATTTCACCGCTTAAGTACTTTATGCGCTCCTAAAGGTTTCAAATTAGCAGCACATGGAAATCCAAATAATGCAAAGACTTTGTTTATCTTCAAATACACAAGCCACACATTATGCTGTAAAAAAAGGTTTATGAGAGTAGAATGAGAGCTGACAGGTTAATGTGAGCGGTTGAGGGAAGTGAAGGTGTTCAGGAAATCTGTTCAGTGTACAGTTTGTTTGAGGAATGATCCGCTGTGTTGCTGGCGAGGGCTTGCTGCGGTGAGTCTCCTCCTAAAAGCCCAGCGCTGCTGAAGTAAAACGGCACATGAGAGATGCGCCCGTCAGACCAGCACTGTAACAGACAGAGACTCAACAATCAGCTTCAGACTGCATCATACATGGTTTACACTGCAATCATTTTATCTCTATACATCTAACACAGCGTCAGGTCAGGTAGATGTGTCCTATTACCTACACTAATAGGACACATCTTACAGAGTTACGTTGCCATTTCAGCTTCACTTCTGCTGCTCCTATTGTGTCACGCAGTGCTCAAAGCCCTCCTCCATCCACGGCTGCAGAGCATTATATGACTAGCAGGCTCGTTCTTCTCAAATCATGTGACTCACCACAGTAAGCAGAGCGCCGTGCTGGAAGTGCGGATGGAACTGCATGAACCTAGGCTCTGCTCCAGCCTCTCCCATCACAAAACCACTACATAAGAGAAAGACACAATGGATTCTGGAAAGTCCTGACAACAGTTTCCCAGCAGAGCTCACACAGAATCATACGCACCACGGCAGCAGCTCAAAGACGGGACTGGAGCGCGTTTTGAAGACTGCTATGACTGAAGGGTGATTAACCGCCTGTGAATCACCTGCGTGAACAACAAATGATGAACCAAAGAAGAAAGGAATGCAAAAGAGCGGCTTTAAGGGATCAAGAGATTCTTCCTAAGAAAACCTTTGCACCATTTATCATCATCTCTTAAGTGCTTTTGTTAAAATATTATAAACATTTGAAAAACGTTTGTCTGTTAACATGCAGAATTGTTAAGGAAAAACAAAAACAAAAAAACAACAGGAGCCTGAAAAACTCATGTTGACATGGCAAGATGAACTCTGGTTGTAAAATTTCAGTTGGCATTTCTCAATTTATGATATTTGTAAAAAGTACTTTTTTCCTTCAAATACATTTAGTTTTTTTTTTTTATATATATATAATTTAAATTGACCATATACTCAAATGTATTTGAAGTTGTAAGGGAAAAGTCATTACTGTCAGCTTAGTCCAGCAGATGTTGACCAATGTGCTGTACATAATATGTGACCCTGCAGCACAAAAGCAGTGTTAAGTCGCTGGGGTATATTTGAAGCAATAGCCTAAAAAAAATTGTATGGGTCAAAATTATTGATTTGTCTTTTATGCCAAAAACCATTAGCATATTAAGTAAAGATCATGTTCCATGAAGATATTTTGTAAATTTCCTACTGTAAATATATCAAAACTTAATTTTTGATTAGTAACATGCATTGCTAAGAACTTCATTTGGACAACTTTAAAGGTGATTTTATCAATATTTAGATTTTTTTGCACCCTCAGATTCCAGATTTTCAAATAGTTGCATCTCGACCAAATATTGTCCTATCCTAACAAACCATACACCAATGGAAAGCGGATTTATTTAGATGACCCTTATGACTGGTTTTATGGCCCAGGGTCACATATAATAATCATAATATCATAACATTTCGCATGAACATGCGATGAATCTTCAACATGTCCGTGCTTCTGTATTCCTGTTTTAAGTATTGATTCAGTTCAAAAATGCTTCGCCAAGAAGTCCAGCATTTCATTCATTTTCTAGCTACTAATTCTGCTGCCAGATTTTCATCTGACACACTCACCAGGGGAAAGAAAACCCGCTTCGTCCGCTGTGTTTTAAAATCTTCTGCTACACAAACATTCACGTTTGCCTTGCTGCAGCCTAACATGCTACAGAGCTGTAAAGTGGCTAAAGATCTGAGAAATCTGTGTTTCTAGCGATGAGCCTGCTTCATCTAACACAGGCAGCTGGATGGTAGAGTGGGTCACGAGGGCTTTGTTTTACCTTTCAGAAGCACGGCGAGTCTTTCACCTCTCGGATCCCATGAGGTTTGGGAAAAAAAAGTTAATTTAAAAAAATAAATAAAAGCATACATCAACTCAAATACGGTTATCTAATAAGCAAGTGTCCTATTCTGTGTACTAAACTCTTGAAACTTTGGTGTCTCTTTGTATATATGATATGATGATAATTTTCTCAAAATAAGTAAAATTCTCATGAAGTGACTCAGAGCAGTTTTAGAGATTATGTTTATGTGTTCATGTACTCATATATTTAGGCGGCAGAGGCTGAAAACACCGCGAGCTTCAGTAGGCCTATGTGTAGTAAATGAAACCGCATGTCTGCGTCATTAATTTCCACGAGGGGTGGACTGGGAAAAACATTTCAGGCTGGGAAATCTCACACTCATACACTCACAACAAATTCTGAAACATGGACAACCCTATTTTTTTGTATGGACCTCACATAAAAAAAGGTTTAAATCCTTAGGTTGGGGACATGCAAAATAATTAAAAGTTCTCTCCTGAACAGCACCTTCACTTCCATTTTTCTTTTCAGTCTCTTTATTTTGCCCTGATATCTATCTCTCACATGACTTTAATACTCAAGATTTAACAAAACTATACTGAAGATATTTTAGCGGTAATGAGACCAAAAATAATCAAGACCCATCGAATCAGAATTTAAGACATTTTAAGACTTTTTAAGGCCTTATAAACGTTATTTAAGACATTTTAAGACTTTTTAAGGCCTTATAAACGTTATTTAAGACATTTTAAGACTTTTTAAGGACCCGCGGACACCCTGGAGGAATGCGACAAGCAATTCATCATAAAGAGGCAAATAAACACAGGAAGTGCTCGTAATATGAAGTTTCAGATATTGTTTAGAATAGTACTAGCTACAAATAGAGAAAGCACAGAGGTAGATTTTTTTTCTTGGCTCCCGCTCTAAATCACAGGCCATTTTACACTAAAACATATAAAGAGTGTTAAATTCAAAGTTCTGGCATGAAACTCTAGATCGCGCAGTCCGATAGATCGAACTAAATTTTTACATAATTACATCACATGTCACAGCTGATTGGTTCTCTCCTGTATCGATAGCCATTGAGCTTGCTGCTCAACACTCAAATATATGAGTAGTGCTTGCTGTAGCAGTTTGCAGCATGCTTCAGAAACCCTCCACCTTCCCCAGCTCCACCTGTATAGATCTGCTACGAGGTGATTCATGTATGCTATATGGGGGTTATTTCATGTATGTTATATGTGCAGCAGCAGTGTTTCTTACATGCTCACAGCAGCATGTTGTGGCTGTATTACAGCAGCAGTGTAGCAGATCATTTGTACATTGTCACGTACATTCCTATGCCAATCCCTCCGAGAGTTGTCACGACAGAACTATAATAGTGTCCACTCCAACAGACTAAACGTGCACTGCATATTTGTCATCTGCCACTTTAAATGGAGTCGATTGGATTCTGATTGGCTGTCAATGATTTTCTCACCCATCAACTGCAGTGATTTCAAGAAAATCATTCCCCCAGGTCGTTATCGTTACGAGTATGGTGTTAACTTCACAGTTCTAATAGAATTAGACTGATTATTAACACTTTAAAGTTATTGTTATAGGTGTGAACAGCCCTTTACACTCAGTTTCCGAAGTTTTCTTACCTGACAACTGCCTTTCAGACACGGCCATCTCTCACACGTCCACATGCGCGTCTCCCAAACCCTAATGAATAGTATCTGCATATCAATCTTTAATCTATACTGAACAGTGAACACAATGAAATATTCAGTCCCACTTTATATTAAGTGGCCTGAACGAGTGGAGAGCTGTATGTCTGCACACTCGTGTTTTAAATGGATCACGTGACTGTACCTAAAAAGAGCCGATGGAGTAGCTGCCAGCAGTCGGCTGCCGTCTGGAGACCATGAGAGATATGTGACGCCGCCACCACCCACCCGCTGCAGCGGCACAGCGCTCTCTGCTGCCACATCCCACACCTACAGCACAACATACACACACACACATACACAAACACAGTCTCAAACAATAAAGCACTCCATTGCTAAACCACCATTATGACATACGCCACAATTCACATTCTAATTTCACCGTAAGACCATTGTTTTCCTTCATAGCTAATGCTGTATATAGTCAGTGAGGTCGAGCAGTCCGTGCCGTGGCCACACTGACAACAGGAACTCAGTTTAATTTAATCCTGCATATAAACAGAAGAATATGAAACAAAGAAACAATGACTTCAGGCCTATTCACTCCAACTAAAGTTCAGCATGAAGTCTGTGGGAAAAAAAAACGTCTGCATTGACTGCCATTCATTCAAATGTTTATCAAAACTGAATATTCATCTTGGTGAGAACAGCCCTGTACAGCTGCAATATGGATGCTTTTTTGGAAGTACGAACTTTGATTTTTTTTTTCGGCAAGTACATAAAAAAACATTTTCACACATGGTCTCAGATCAATTAATAAATTGATTGAATTTAGTTATAAAATTGACCAAATTTAAAAGCGAAGACTTTGTTTCTGATTAAAAGTAGCAAAGCTCATTGCAATTACTGCATGGTAGGTGCTCTAAAAAAATAATGTTTAGTGACATTTTGTTCACAAATCAACAAAAAACAGCACAGACCGAGATCTAAAAATCAATATTGGTCCATCAAAAATAAGTAGTAGTTAAGTTAAATATGTGGGCCTGGTAGTTTAATTAAACCCTTAACTTGAATGTACCAGAGTTAGTTCCCGGTTTATTTCAAACCATTAGTTGAGAGAGTGTTTTGTTGTGACATGTTGTGGTTGATGTATATCCAAATGACCCCAAACACACTAGGTAAAGCTACAGTAAGGCCATTTACGCTTTAGATCTGGAAACAATCTAAACATTGTTTGGATAATGCCAGTCTCTTTCTTTTTTTGCTCGCTCTGTTTCTGTATTAAGTTGACAGCTGTCACTGTTCCTACAGAGAATTACATCATTTCTCTGCGTCACACTCAAATATACAGTGGTGATGAGTACCAACTTCACATAGATCTGCTAAACAAATGTATGCATTTAAACTGAGCAGGAAGACTTGAGATTTGGCGCTTACCATCATGGCTGTGTCGACAGGAGATGCAGACACAAGCAGGGAGCCGGTGGGGGACCAAGCGATGGAGGTGATGGGAGAATGACCCGGATGAGACAAGACCTGCGCACAGCCAGACGACGGCCTGAGAGAGAGAGAGAGAGAGAGAGAGAGAGAGAGACAGAGACTCTTTTTTTTCCACTTTAGACTGAAAAAAGTCTCGTGATTCGGATGGTCCTAAAGCTGCAAAAACAGAGAGAGAGAGAGAGAGAGAGAGAGAGAGAGAGAGAGAGACTCTTTTTTTTCCACTTTAGACTGAAAAAAGTCTCCTGATTCGGATGGTCCTAAAGCTGCAAAAACAAACTAACATGACTAACATCCAGCATCAGGACTCTGAAATATTCATCCACAAAATTCGGCCCAACCAAATTATAAAAGCACAAAAAGAAAATTATCTAACCTATTGGACTGAAACAACAGAAAAACAAAGTAAACTCAAATGTTATTTGGCCCTAAATAGAGATTACACAACTGCGGAATATCTGAGTACAGTGCAAGACTGTAAATGAAGAAGACAGATGACGAGGTACAGACTGAGCAGCCATACTCTGACTCTAGAGACGGGCAGATATCCACAGCACTG